TCCTCCTTCCACTGACCATCCTCTTCTTCCTTCCACAGCTTGATGAGGTTGTCACAGCCGCCTGAGGCAAATTTCTTGATGTAGTTGGGCTTCTGTCCTGAAGGCTGGTCTATGAGGCTTCCAGGTACAACAGCAGGGGCACAGCTGACGGCATTGCAGCCAATAGTGTGAGCATTGTTGATCTTCTTCACGTCCCACTGGCCTTCCCCAGTGTAGGTCAGCAGGGAGATGGCCCCATCTGAGCTCCCACAGGCCAGGATTAGGCCGTAGTCATGGGGGGCCCAGCACACAGAATTTACTGCAGGAAGGAGGGAGGCACAGTGAGCAAACTTTGATTTTCCAGATTTACCATTTTGCTAAATTTCTAAAAACAATTGCAGGGACCACCAGAGGGGAATTGTAACTTTGTCAACTGAAGAAATTTAAAACCCACCACCTGCTAACATCATTTCCTAAACTAATGCCTATATTAACGAAAAGCAGGCTGGACAATTATCTGAGAATAAAGGCCAGTACTTAAAATGAATAAACCTTAAAGAATTGTATTATCTTCGCTTTTCTCATTTTGCTCTGGACTGGCTTTAGTCTTCTTAGGGCCTATCTCCCATGTGGACGACCAGCAAAAAAGCCAACCCAAACCCAAGGGATCAATAAGAAGCATCACAAGGGGAAAGAATCGAGCACTAGCCAGAACAGAGGCCTCTCTCACACCCAAGGACCACCCTCCGACCTCCTCCTGCCGCGCTCAGTGTACCTGAGGAGTCGTGTCCTGTGTGTTCGTGCGTCTTCTCCCAGGTGCCGTTTTCCTCTTTCCAGATAATAACTTTTCGGTCATAGGAGCAGGATGCCAGGATATTGCCATACATGGGGTGGGCCCAGGCCACTTGCCACACTGGTCCCTCATGACTGTCTGATGAGCAGGTTGCCAGGCGGGTGCCATAGTAGTCCATCTGGGCATCGTGAATCATGTCCTCATGGGAGGTGTCCACAGTGTTAATTACTGACACCATGGCTGCAGCGGCGGTGGCTCCCGGCCTCGGACGTGGCAGCTCCCGGCGGCGCCTCCGACACCTCCCCCCCAAAATTTTATAACACAAAATTCTCATTTCACATTATATAATTCATTGGGTTTTAGTTTATTGACAAGGTTGTGCAACCACACCACAATCTAAATTTAAAATATTTCTATTATTCTAAAAACAAGCAAATAAAAAACAAAAGAATAACATCAGCCATTAGCAGTTACTTTCAATTATTCCTGTTTCTTATCCCTAATATAAGCTTGGCAACCATAAATCTACTTGTTTCTGTAGGTTTGCTTATTATGGACATTACATATAAATGGAATTACACAATATAAATAAACCTTTAAAAGTTCATTCATGTTATAGCATGTACTTCTACATGACTTCTTTTTTTTAAATCTTTATTGTTGAGGGTATTACATCACTTCTTTATAGCTGAGAAATATTTCATTACATGTGTACAGTTCATGTTGTTTATCCATTCTCCTGTTTATTAACATTTGGGTTGTTTCCATTTTTGGCAACTGTGAATAATACTACTATAAACATTTTTGTTCAAATTTTGTGTAAAACAAGTCCTTAATTATCTTGGGTATAGACTTAGGAGTAGGATTGATAAGTCATATAGTAATTTTATGTTGAACTACTTGATGAATTGCCAGACTTGTTTTACCAAAGTGGTTATATCCATTTATAATCCCACAAACAATGTGTGAGGGTTTTAATTTCTTCACATTCTCACCAACACTTACTTTTGGAGACTTTTTATTGCTATTATTTTGTTGAGAATTATTTTGTCTATGATCGACCTATTTGTGAATTCTCCAAATTTCCTTCTGTCATGGATGTCTACTTTCATTCCATTGTGGTGATAGAATGTACTCTATGTGATTTATGTTTTGTGATCTACATATGTCCTATCCTGGAGAACGGTTCATATTAACTAAAAAAATATGTGTATTCTGCTATTATTGGATGAAGTGTTTCACAGATATTTTAGGTCTAATTGACTTATTGTACTCTTCAAGTATTCTATTTCCTTGTGACTTTTCTGGGTAGTTGTTCTATCCTTTATTCAAAGTGAGAAATTTAAGTCTCCAAATATTATTGTTTAATTTTATGTTTTTCAATTATTTCAGTTATTGATTTAGGTTTTTCAAGTCTCTGTTATGTTTGCAATAATTTTACCTTCTTAAGAAATTTGAACATTTTATCATTAAAATGAACTATTTTATAGTAAAAATTGTGTCATAATTTTGTCTTAGTGTACCCACTCCTATTTTCTTTTGGTTATACTTTGCATGAAATACCTTATTCTATTTCTTTCTTTCAACCTATTTGTCTTTAAAGTATAAATCAAGATTTTTTTTCAAATGTACCATTTTAAAGTGTTGTTATTATTTTATATATTATACATGTTTACATATCTGTGTACTTTTGTATATAGTAAAACATATATTATAATAACATATTATGTATAATATAATAATTATATATTATATGTGAAAAATATACTTTAAAATACATTGTTTTCTCAGTGGCTGTTTGGGTTGTCCATCTTAATTTACAACAATCTAGTTTGGATTAATGGCAACTTGATTTCCACTGTTTTTTATTGTCACTTATTACATATTTTTACATCATGTGCTTGTAGATATAGATTTATAACTATCACTTTAGTAGTTGTCTATTAGGAGGCCAATGCCTTATCCATTAGGCAACTGGGGCTTCTTAGTAGTTGTCTTTTAAATCAGATATGAAAAAAGTAGAATCATGAACAACAAATAGATTAATATTTAATTTTATATTTATACTAGAGGCCTGGTGCATGGATTCGTGCACTGGTGAGGGGTGTAGGCTGTGGGGATTGGCTTACTGTGGGAGTGCTGCTCATCCTAGTCAGCTGAGCAGCTGCTCATCCCGGTCAGTCAAGTGGTGCTCCTATTGTGGGAGCACACTGACCACCAGGGGGCAGCTCCTGTGTTGAGCATCTTCCCCCTGGTGGTCAGTGTGCATCACAGTGACTGGTCCACTAGTCATTCTGGTAGTTCAGCCGTTTGGTTGCTGGGCTTTTATATAGATAGATATGTGTTTACCTGCTTCAATTGTCTTTATGTCTTTGTGTAGAATCAACTTACCAATCTGGTGTACTTTTGTTGAGCCGCAAAGACACCATTTATTATTTCTTATAGGTCAGGTATTGTAATGAAGGCTTCTTTCAGTTGTTCTTCATGTAAGGAGTTTTGAATTCTTTTGTAGGCTATTTTTTTCTGAGATAGAATTCTTGTTTGCCATTCTTTTTAGCAGTTTGAACATCATCCCACTGCTTTTCAACCTCAAGAAGTTCTGATCAGAAACCAGCTGTCATTCTTATTAAGGACCCCTTGTATAGGATGAGTTGCTACTCTCTTGCTTATCAGAATTATTTATTTGTCTTTGGATTTTGATAGTTTAACTATAATGTATCTAATTGTGGAACTTTTTAGATTGAACCATTGTGAAGTTTGCTGAGTTTGGATGTGTATATTATCTCCTTTATTATTTTTGGGAAGTCTCTACCTCTTTAGCTTGCTCCTCTCCTTATGGAATATATGACATGAGGAAGTTGAGCCTCAAATTCTAATGTCTTCTTTGCTAGTAGTAAAGATCTCTCCAATCCCAGCAAAAGTAACCTCCCCACTTCCAGTGGCATTGACACCCCCTGTGATAGTAGCCTCCTCATCTACAGTTGTACTGAACATTCTACCTCCATTTGAAGGAATTAGCATTGAATTGGCTAAGAAAAGTGTAATGGCCTTATTTGAGGAAGATATCATGCAAGACAATGCTTTCTCTCCCCAAGACCCACACATACCGCTTTTCTTTGTTTTTGGAACTTTAATTAGACATAAGTCTTTGCAAGTTCCCAAAGGTATGGTACAGTGAACTGTAGAGTCAAAGCAGCAATAGAGTACTCTGATGTGCACATATCTATGGCACTGGCTAGTTAATCATGGTGCTTCTAAAAGTGAAATAAATAGGAAACCTACTAAATTCTTACTTGATCCATATAAGCAGAAAAGTGAACACTGTTATTCAAATCATACAAAATAGAGTCATGGCACTTTAATCAATCTCCACACTTGAGCTAGTTGATAGACCCAGAACTCCTTAAATAAAGGGGAGGTCAGGTATCTTTGAGAAAGGACCCTTGTACACTACCAGAAATTTATATTGTTAATCTTTCCCCCAGCCTTCCCCAGAGGGTCATACAGCCTTTTACCAGGGTAACTGCACATTGGAGAAAGGGAAACAATCATATCTTTAGATAAAAACTAGACACTGGATCAGAACTGACATTGATTTTAAGACTTAAAACATTATCATGGATTATTAGCTCAGTTTATTTCACAGTGGATTTGAAAATTCTCCAGTCCCATGTTATGGTTATTTCCCCAGTTCTAGTATACATAATTGGAACAGACATACTTAGCAACTGGCAGTCTCTCCACATTGGTTTTGTGACTTATGAAATGAGAGCTATTATGATGGAGAAAAACCAAATGGAAGGCATTCCAAATGGAAGGCATTAGAACTGTCTTTACCTAGCAAAATAGTAAATAAAACCAATACCACATTCCTGGAGGAATTGCAGAGATTAATGACACCATCATGGATAAAAATAAATAAATAAATAAAAATGCAGAGGTAGTGATTTCCACCACATGCCCATTCAATTTTCCTCTTTGGCCTATGCAAAAAGCAGATTTTAGAGAATGACAGTAGATTATCTCAAGTTTAGCCAATCGGTGACTCCTATTACGGCTTCTGTATCAGATATGGTTCATTACCTGAGCAAATGAACACATACTATGGTAAGTTGTATGCAACTATTGATCTAGGAAATGCTTTTCTCTCCATACCTATCCATAAGGCACAAAAGAAATAGTTTTCTTTCAGCTAACAATCGCAGTAATACATGTTCAGTGTCCTGTCTCAGGGATATATGTGTATCAATTATCCAGCCTTCTGTCACAATTTAGTTCATAGGGATGTTGATCAACTTTTTCTTCCACAATATGTCACACTGGTCCCTTATATTAATGACATAATGCTGATTTGACCTAGTAAGTGAGAGGTAGCAATTACTCTAGACATATTGGTAAACATTTGCATGTCAAAGGGTAAGAATAAAACTTCCTAAAATTCAGAAACCTTCTACCTCAGAGTAATTTCTAGCATCTACTAGTGTAGAGCATACCTAGCTATTTCTTCTAAGGTGAAAGATTAATTGTTGCATCTGACCCTTCCTATAATCATAAAAGAGGCACAACACCTAGTGAGCTCCTTTGGATTTTGGAGGCACCATATTTCTCATTTGGGTGTGTTATATCAGCCCATTTGTGGAATAATCCAAGAATATGCTACATTTGAGTGGGGCCCAGAGCAAAATAAGGTCCAGTTTGCAGTGTAAGCTCCTCTGCCATTTGGGCCATATGATCCAGCAGATCCAATGGTTCTTGAAATATCAGTGACAGACAGGGATGCTGTTTTTAGTCTTCGGTAGGACCCTATAGGTGAATTATAGCACAAGCCTTTAGAATTTTGGAGCAAGGACCTCTCATAATCTTCAAATAACTATTTTCCTCTTAAGAAACAGATTTAGGTCTGTTACTGGGCCTTACTAGACACTGAACACTTAACCATAGGCATCAAGTTACTATTCAACTGCTGCCCTTCGTGAATTATTTGTTAACTGATTTAACAAGTCAAGCCATAAAGTACATTCACACAACACATTCCATCTTCAAATAGAAGTAGTATATATGTGATTGGGCCTAGAAAGGCCCTGAAGGTACAAGTAAGTAGCCCAAATTCCCAGGATCTACACTTACTTTTGTTACATTGCCTTCTCTCTCCCAGACTGCACCTATGGCCTCAGTGGGAGTGCCTTACAATCAGTTGACAGAGGTAAAAAGAGTCAGGTCTTTTCTTATAGATGTTTTTGCACTACATGCAACTGCCATCTGAAAGTGGATTGCTGCATCACTACAACCCATCTGT